CAAACTGGTAGCGAGGTACAAAATCGGCAGGCAGAAGAGGAGTCAGGAAACAGGCCAAAGTCTTAGTAATATTCAGTGATCAATCCACCAGCAGTACACACAGGAACAAACCCAAATAAAAAGGCTCAGAGCACAGGAAGTGCTCAGTATTTAAAGGCTGAGATGATTGTGACTTGACTGCAGCTGGCAAGCACGTGGAGCTAGAGAGTCCAAAGAAAAAATGCTGAATAGAAATCTGCAGTGCAAAGGTGAGTCCTCCTTGTGCCTGAAAGGCAATACCTCAGTACTTCTACCCCAGAGACCCAGGTTCAAATCTCCACAACTACAAAACAGGTGCTGGGCATACAAGACAAGCACCTGGCATACAGTTGGTCAAATCAAAAAGCACATACTAATTAATGTTCAACCATAGTCAAATGAAACCTACTTATCAACCTAGATCAATGGTAGTCTTTTGTGAGACCTCACATACCTATGATAATACTTCTATTACAAGATATCCACAATGCTAGATACACTTACATGATGCAATCTGCTTGAAGAGGTCCTCTAACATTTGCCAAATTATGACTGGCACAGCTCTGTAGTCCCAAGCAGTATGACAACTGTGAGATTTAAAGACTTGGTAGTGACTACCATACATAGAGATGTTTCTAACATGTTGAAAAGATCCTTCATGTGAATTGATGCTAATCACTTTTCATCACATGCGTGCCACATTCTGATTGGCAAAGTTTAGGAGAACATGGCAGGCTCTGGAGGTGCAGCAATGTGAATATGGGCAGTCAGATGTTTCCCTATCACGGTACATCAAACACTGTACATGAAACATCTGCCTGTGGGATTCTTCATGTTGAGCATTTTCGCACTTCAGGAAATGCGCAACAAAAACGCTTAGGTGTGAATGGGGGCTAAGAAGTCCTATATTTTGTCAAACTATAAATGTTAAATGACTTTTACACAATATTTATATATGACTGATAACCACATTTGATAGGAAAGGGTCAGCACCTACAATTTTGCAGCATTTTGCAAACATACTGAACATAATACTCGCCTCTTAAAGCGTTGGAGCCCCTGGTGCAAACTACTACAAATTATTGCCAAGTAATACAGCAAGGGGTACGTAAGAGTTTAGCACTAGAAAGTGCAGTGTGAAGCACCAAGAACATGTAATGTTTTCCCACCGTCTATGCTTTATTACATTCTTCTGCATAGATGATACATAGGGGAGGGATTTCCCTAAGATCCAGACTGATTTTTTTTTTTTTTTTAAGCCAGAAGTCAGGAAGTGAAACAGTGCTGAGTCTATTGCAGTCAGCAAATTGAAATCAAAAAGATTTGTATTTCAGAGATGCAGAGCAGTGTCTGCCTATGGATTGACTGTTTTCTGAGCACATGAAAGTGAGTATGAACTTCTGGATTCCCTGCAGCTGACTATATCAGACGTGGCATTTACATTTTCCATATTCCTTAAGGCTAATATGCATTCTAGTGTTTAAATCCATTTTTTCATATGTGCTGGCATGACTGTTTTTTTTTTGTTTTTTTATTTGGTCATGCTTTATGGCAAAAGCTTTGCTTGAGTGTAATTCATTTTTTACATTGTTAGGTGATTTGTGAGTGTCCAACTACTAAACAACAGATCAGTCATATCTCTAAAGATTTAATGTAGATAATCATTAACTGATGTTCAGGACTTTAACATGCTTGGAAGATAATTTGTAATGTATTGGGTATGAATGACTACAGTAAGATAGCCTTAAAAAGATTAGACGATCTCCTAGACTGAAATGTTCCTTTTAATTCCTGATCAATGATAGGTTTGGAGCTACAGATCAAAGCCTATGTAGACGTAGCAGTCATTAGGCTGGTAGAAAGTGTCCCTGCCTGATAGCTATATGAAGGACCAATCCTTAGGCCATTCTGCCTCCTTATCCATAGTATTTAAGTGTAACTGTCCAGACAACATTCACTTTTTCAGGGGTGTCCACAATTTTTTGTCTTACGATCTACTTTTCAAATGACAAACTCTACTCAACCTTTATTTAAGAAACAAACCCATTAAAATCGTTACCTGGACTACTGCCGCCCTCTCTCCTCTGACTGTCTCTTCTTTCTCTTTTGCACGCTCTCTCTCTCTCTGCTGTCTCTTTTCTCTCTCTCGGCTGTTTCTCTCTCTTTCTCGGCTGTCTCTTCTCTCTCCTCTGGCTCTCTCTGCTGTCTCTCTCGGCTGTCTCTTCTCTCTCTCTCTCTCTCCTCTGGCTGTCTCTTCTCTCTCTCTCTCCTGGCTGTCTCTCCTTGCTGTCTTACCTAAACTGCAGCAGTTTCCCGGCTCTTCTCTCATGTGCGCTCTCCTGTCCTCCTGCGGTGCTGGTGTGGCCGAATGAGTCCGACGCTACACACTGGCAGGGGCGTCCCGCTCCGCACTGGTGCTAGAGTGGAAAAATGTGTCAGATGGGGAGAGATGTCCCGCCCCTTCCCGTTTGCAGCGTCTGACACATTCAGCCGCACTAGCACCGTGGGAGGGAGCTCAGGTCAGTGAGCCGATCGTGATCTACCAGTGTATGCTTTGGGTTGGACTGGTAGATCACGATCGACCTAATGGGCACCCCTGATTTATACCATGTGAAACATTGTAAAAAAAAAAAGCAACAAGGAAACATTCATTTTAAACCAATTTTTGATCAGCCTAGCTGAAAATTTCCAACCAGTTCAACATTGTTGTGTCCCCATCATACTCTGTATTGGTTAAGTTAAGCCTAACTCCTGAAGGGTTTTTGCTTCATTTTAGATAAAAGTATATCTATAACCAAGAACAACAAAAATTGTAATATACTGCAGCCTACCATTCTTTAGATGTGGTGACTGCACTAGTTGTCTTTTTCCTTTTACCTAGTAATACTGACAGTAACATATTTCCTGTCCTAGGGTACAATGCTTACTCAGTGTACTCTTATCTAAGGAGAATCAGCTTTCCCCCCCCTAGGACAGGAAGCATATACACTACAGAACACCTCCCCCTCTCCAACACTTTTTAAAATTTATTACAGGTATTTTAAAAAGCGCCAACAATTTACACAGCGCCTTACATAGTGCACATGCAATTGATGGAGGTGCCCTCCGCACACCTTTCAGCAGTCCCGGCCAACAATCAAATAAATGGTGCTCGAAGTAACTTCACGGATGGCACCGTGCAAAACACAAGATTGAAGAAAATAGGTCACCAGCACTGATTTCTGTGACATCATTGTCCATTAAAAGGACTCATTCATTTTAACTTATGGAGTGCTGGTGACCTATTTTCTTCAATCTTACATAGTGCACATTCACATCAGTCACTGCCCTCAAGGAGCTTACAATCTAAGGTATCAATCTCACATGCATACATACAGCCAATTAACCCACCAGCATGTCTTGAAAGTGTGGGAGGAAACCAGAGTACCCGAAGTACACCCATGCAAGCACAGGGGGAACGTGGAGATAGCGATCCAGCTGGGATTCAAACTAGGGTCACCTAGTGCTGCACGGCAGAATCGCTAACCACTACGCCACTGTGGTGCACACGATGGGAGGTTCTCGGGGTTACCAGGAATGAAAGGTAAGCATGTTTTAGATATCACTGCAGAGTATACTTAACATATTACAGCACTTCATTTCTGATATGATCAACAGCTATTTTTTGCACTGATTATACAGATATAAAAAACAATTTCAAATGTAGATTTAACAGACCAAAAGGGAGCAAATAAGAGAATTCCATTCCTAGAGTTTAGATACACTTTAATTAATTCACATGCAATATCCTTTTAGTTGTCAATCAACATCTGTCCAGGTGGTATGCTAATTTTGGTGTATTAAAAGGAATAACATATTCCCTGTAGTAAGGTATTAATGTTTATTTATGTTTAAGTTGTGGTGATTTATGTTTAAGTTTTTATTTTTAAACATATTACAGTGTATTACTGATTTATGTTTAAGTTTTTCAGTCTTTATATGCATGTACAGTATCTCCCAGAAGTGAGTACACCCCTCACATTTTTGTAAATATTTTATTATATCATTTCATGTGACGAAACAGAAGAAATTACACTTTGCTATAATGTAAAGTAGTGAGTGTACAGCTTGTATATCAATGTACATTTGCTGTCCCCTCAAAATAACTCAACACACAGCCATTAACCCCTTCGTGACTGACGACGTACAGTGTACGTCGCCAGCATCGGGGCTGTTTACAACAGAAGCGATTCTGCCGCCAGATCGCTTCTGTGTCCCGTAGAAGGCCCCCCCTGCCGGACACCGCCGCCGTGCTTCCCAGGCTTCGTTGCCCCTCCTACGGGCCCGGGACCGGCTTCCTTTGTTGTCGGCGGGGAGCTGGGGAGGAGGTCGACGAACTTCCGTTCATCGATCCCCTCCCCGTTCTATGGAACCAGGAACGCTATAACACCAAATTTAACACACCTGCAACCTTGTAACACTAACGAGTCACATGACACCGAGGAGGGAAAATGGCTAATTGGGCCCAATTTGGACATTTTCACTTAGGGGTGTACTCACTTTGGTTGCCAGCGGTTTAGACATTAATGGCTGTGTGTTGAGTTATTCTGAGGGGACAGCAAATGTACACTGATATACAAGCTGTACACTCACTACTTTACATTGTGGCAAAGTGTAATTTCTTCTGTATCGTCACATGAAATGATATAATAAAATACTTACAAACATGTGAGGGGTGTACTCACTTCTGTGAGATACTGTATATGGTTATTGTATTCCTTGGTGAATTCTAATATACTAGAGATTTATGGAAGGGTTACATTATCTAATATATAATGCATAAAATAAATATATATATAATAGTAAACTATAATTTTTAATGTGTTACCTTTTAAAGCATATGCCTTTGGAAAAAGTTTGGATCTGTTACTTTAAATGATCATTTGAAAATGCTAACCCAAATATTCTTTACAGCTTAATAGGCGCAGTGGCAACCTTAATATTGACACACAGGAATACTTCATAGTATTTATTTGCGATATGTAATTTTTTCCGGTGCAATGGAGACAGCAAGGACCTGGATTGAGCCTGTGGTTGCTGGGGCCCAGATTGCCAGCTCTTTTTATGACACTGCTCTTCTTATGGCTGTAAGAAATCACTATAACAAGACCATTGACTACCAACAGGCTTCTATCAACTCTAGCACTGATGATGTGTTGCAAAAAGCCATCTCAAACTTCTACATCATTTACAATGTTATTATGGGATTGACTCCTTTACTGTCTGCTTATATCTTGGCAAAAATCGGTGACAAAACCAGCAGGAAAGTGACTATATGTGTGCCACTGCTAGGTTATCTTCTATCAAGGATGTTTCTTCTGTTCATCATTCTTTGGGAATGGCCTATAGAAGTCATGTTTGGCTCTGCTGCTCTAAATGGTTTAACTGGCTGGTTTACAACATACTGGGCTGGCGTTATGGCCTGGGCCTCTATATGTTCTTCAGAGAGGAGACGTTCTCTTCGACTCGTTATTATTGAGATGGTGTATGGCTTGGCTGGATTTGTGGGAAGTTTAGTTTCTGGACACATATTTGTCAATTTAAATATTGCAAACCATGAAGGGACTATCCTTGTCTGTTGTAGCACTGGCTGCTATGCCCTCTGCTTTCTATATAGCTTGTTTGTTCTGCGGACACCTGAAGAAGTTAATTGCTCTGAGACCAGACCATTGTTGAACGACACTGATAACACTATGATACAGGCGCATTCAGTGGATGAATCTACAAGTGTGTCGCCATCTAAACTTATACTTATTACTATGTTTTCTAGTGTAATCCTCTTTAATATTTCTTTCACTGCAGCTGATGATGTGATCAATGTTTTTGTACTGAAAGCACCACTGAGCTGGGGTCCTATTGAAGTTGGGTATGGTAATGCTGCAGCTTACATGACATACCTAACTAGCTTCCTAGGAGTTTTTATATTATACCGATGTATGGGAGACTTGGCAATGATTGTCATTGGAATAATCTCATTCAGCTCTGGACTTCTGATTATGGCTTTCGTGCGCTGGACCTATATGTACTATATTGGTAAGTAAAAGGCATTCTTTATGCAGTCAGTAATATTCAGCAAGCTTTATTACAATGTTTGCTAACTTAAGTACCTTAAAATGTCTTACATTTTACTTAAAGGATTAATATACCTATATGAAACTTCCTCCCACCATCCGTCCTTTTTTCCTGCTTTCTCCCTTCTTTTCTTTCTTACCTCCTTCTTCCTTTTCTCACTCTTTCTTTTACTTCTTCATTCTTTTTTCTTCCCTCCCTCCTTCTTTCTTCCTTCCTTTCCTTTCTTCTCTCCCTCCTTTTTTTCCTCCCTCTCTCCTTCTTTCTTCCTTTTTTCTTTCCTCCCTCCTTCCTTCCCTCCCCCTTCTTTTTTCATTTCCCCCATGTCCACCTTCCTTTCTTCCTTCCTACCCTCCCTTCTACTTCCTTTCTTTCTTTTTCCTTTCTTCCTTTATTATTTCCTTCCTTTCCTCACTCCTTTTCTTCTTTACTTCCTTCCATCCCTTCTCCAGGTCTCAGGAGCAAACAAAAGCTTGCCATTTTGACAGTTCTAGCCAGTAGCATACGTCCGTCAATAGAAAATCCACATTAAATTTTATTATGTGATAAGTGTTATGTTACCATACCTGGCTCTTGAGTTATGGGGTAGTATTATATAATGCAATGGGTGGACTAGACAGGGATATACATAGCTGAGTAGAAATTCCAATATTATATTAAAATTCCCAACAGATTCCGAACTGTCTGTGACACACATGGGCTGATTTACAAATCTTCTGCCCAGCATATAGTGCCACTAGATGGAGCCGCAGAGCATAGGCAATTCACATGCGCCTCAGCACCATCTAGGGGCAGGAAGAATTATAAATAAGCCCCATAGTGTGGCCTTCACATCATTTGAATGTTGCAGGTATCAAAAGCTGTGACTACACATTTCACCTGCTGGTTGCAGAGTATCCATACAGAAACAATGGTGCACTATTAAATATTTTTATATATACCTTTCTCTCCAAAACTGTATCCATGAATATTCATGTCTTTTTTTTTTTAAGCTCGAACTGTAATGATGTTCTCACAAATACCTACACCAACCATCAGATCAGTGATATCTAAACAAATTCAAGGATCATCATATGGTGAGATGTAATGTTTCATTTGAAATTCAGACACAAATATTAAGTAATAAGTGGAATGCAGGGATGTACATCTGTACAAATGGATGTATTTTATACAAATGTGGCATATACCAGCGACATACAGCCACTGACTTCAATGGTAGGCTAATTGCAGCAACTGTGAGTCCCTGGTGGGGAAAATTCAAATCATATACATTGGACAGACTAAAGGTGCCCATACACCTTACGATTATCGGACGAAACTTTTCGTCCGACGATCGAATAGTCGTACGATTTTCGTAAGGCAGCCCCATCCTGCCACGATGATCGGATTCCCGGGATCCGCTGCCCCATCTTGGATCCCGGGACCGGCTCCGAGGGCGTCAGGAGGAGGAGGACGGGAGAACTTGGAGCACTTGTCAGGATAGAAGGAAAATAGATGGGGCAAAATACCATCAAATTTTGAGGAAAATCTGCTGCCCTCTGCCAGAAAGTTATCAATGGGAAGAAGGTTTACCTTCCAACATGACAGTGACCCAAAGCACACACCAAAAATTACTACACAGTGGTTGAAGGAGAAATAGGTGAATGTCCTTGTATGGCCTAGCCAGAGCCCAGACTTAAATCCCATTGAAAATCTGTGGAGTGACCTGAAAACTGCAGTCCACAAACAGAATGTAACTAAACCTGAGCAGTTCTGCAAAGAAGAGTGGGCAAATATTGCAAAGTCTAGATGTGCAAAGTTAGTAGAGACGTATCCCAACAGACTAAAGGCTGTAATTAAAGAAAAAGGTAGTTCAACAAAATACTAACACACGGGGGTGATTCTTTTTCCAACTCGGTTGTTCTGTTTTTGAATTTTTTTAAATTTATTTTTGGCATGTTGGTGTTATATGTTTCACTTGAATATAAGTGGCACTGAGTAAATACAGCTGGATAAAACAAAAACTGTGTCTGTCTTTATTTCAGGCTGCAAAGCAACAAAATGTGATTATTTTAAAGGGGGGTGATTGTTTTCTATACCCACTGTATGACATGGACCCATAATAGTCCAAAAGGATTGTGCCACTGCACGCTTTTCAATGCCCATGATCAGAAATCAGAGCGCAGAGGTGATCCTCTTTTACATAATGGTGTATAGCAAAATCACCCATGTAGAAAAGCCTTGAAATGAATATGCAGCTTAGTAGGTGTAACTGAAGCCAAAACATGTTATGTACTTTGGATAGAGTGGAGAGGGATTAGAATACATGTCACGTTGTTATTGTTGTCTGTATCCCTGTTAGAGAGATTAACCCACTCTATTTGTCCTGGTGACATATCCTTAAAAGTGAAAGAAAATCCCACATTTTGGATTGTCATCAGATCAGGAATACACTGAAAATATTTCAAAGGGACACTAGTTCTGGTGACCCTGCTAACCACCAGGGCTTTCCCTCACTTCAGGCCGTTGTGTCTATCGGACAGGAAGTGAAGTGAAATCTCCCTATGGCAAAAAAAAGCTGACAGACGTTTTAACTAGGGATGCACCGATATATCGGCCACCAAAACAGGTGGTGCATCCTATTCTCAACTGTCACAGGCTGCCGAGCGCTGCGGGAGGAGAGTGCTGTGAGCAGCCGGCTCCCCGCACCGCTCAGCCTCCCGTCACAGATCGGCAGAGCGGTGTGATGGCAGAGACAGCCAGCGCTGTCAAAGGAGGCTGAGTTCTCCTCCCCGCACTGCACGCTCTGCCTCCGTGACAGATGTCAGGAAGGAGAGCGGTACAAACACTCAGCGGTCACTGAGTGTTTGCACATAATTGAGGACATAGTATGTTTACTATATCCTCAATTATGAATGAATGGGAGTGATCTACATGACCTCCTGTTCATTTATGATTGTGGTTATAGGAAACATACTATGTTCTCATGTTATGAATGAACAGGAACCCTCAGTATAGAGGATTCCTGTTCATTTATAACAGGGGCTGCAGAAAAAGAGATTGAGGACTCTATTCTCAATCTCTTTTTCTATTTTAAAAGATAAATATCAGGGTTCTGTTTAGACCCCTAATATTTCCCCCAAAGCCCCTAAAAGTTAAGTAAAAAATAAAAATATTTAATAAAAAATGAATATAAAAAATGAAATAGTTTATAAAAAATAAATAAACAGCTTATCAAAGTTTCGGCCTGACATTTCAGTTTTGAAATGAACCTCTAGTTTCAACCCTCCCTTACTTTATTGAACATTGGCTCCAGTTCTTTACTTTACACTTATTTACATTTCAGTGACTTGCTTTCCAAATAAATACTCGAAAATTCACTACAATCAAATACTTTGAGGAGAATTTATCAAAATTGGGGCAGACAGAATCTGGAGAAGTTGTCCATTGTAACCAATCAGATTCTCTCTTGAGTTTGTTCAGTTAAGCTTTCAAAATGAAAGAGAGAAGCCGATTGGTTGCTGTACACAACTTCTCCTTATTCTGTCTGCTCCAGTTTTAATAAATCTCCCTTTTGATTTGTACTTGTTTGCCCTGTGCTCTTTTAGCATCTTCACTGGGTAGAAGTGAATTCACTGTGGCAGTAAAATAAAAAAAAGACCCCTGTAACTTGTCTTGATATTTCTTTCAGGCAAAGTGTTCGTCTTACTTCAGCTGGCAATAGAAATTGTAGCAGTGAGCACTTCAGCTGGATTCAACAAACTTTATCAAGCTACACTACATTGGTACAGTGGGTTCTGTTTCATTGTATTTGGCACCCTGGGATTTCTCTGCATTATTCCGATTGGGTATGTTTTTTGAGATATTTTGGAACACAAGTTTTATTCAGTCATATTTAGTAAAATGTAATTTATAGACAAATAAAACACAGAAACACATGAGTGTGTGTATGGAAGGTTGAATGTTCTGCGCTATGAAACAGACCCAAAGGGGGAGATTTCACAGAGAGTAAGGGTTAACCGCAAGTTGCTGAAACTAAGGCCAGATAATGGTTTTAGAATAGTGAGCGCTATGGGTCTCCTGGAGTGAAGTGAGAATCCAACAATGACTCCAGAGAATCCAACAAGTGGTATAAAAATTATAAATATATAAATATCTCTAAGTGAACATCTTATTATGTGAACAATAAAAATTGCTAAAGTGATATGTGAATATTGTTCACATAAGATGTTCACTTAGAGATATTTATATATTTATAATTTTTACACCACTTATTTAATAAGTCATTGTTGGATTCTCACTTCACTCCAGGAGACCCATAGGGCTCACTATTCTAAAACCATGAGTGTGTGTATATTTGTAAAGGGTGATCAAAGCTCCTTCTCAACTTTAACAGGGTTATTCACAAAAGGGTGAAGAGTTTGGAGAAGGCAGGAGAAGTGAACAATCTAGGACAGCATAGCTGATATGTAAAAAATCTCCAAATCAGCTCACTTTCCAGCTCAGCTATGTTGTCCTAGATTGATCACTTCTCCAGATTTCTCCAAACTCTTCACCCTTTTGTGAATAGCCCTGTAAGTGTATCTAAACCCCAGAACAAAAATGCAATATTTTGCAGCTTACTGGTCCTTAGATGTGATAGAAGCATTAGTTTGGTTTTCTCTTTCCTTTATTTTTACCTATGAATAACACACTTCCTGTCCCTGAATGCCTATGCCTATTTCTTCACTGTATCTATATAGGGAGCCATAGTTGGCACCCAGGTTGGACTTTAAACTTGTCTTCCTCTCTTCAATATATTTACATGGAGGGGTTAGCAGCTTACAGGATGAAGGTAATGCATTAAGTTTTGTTATGCTACCAGTTCAGCTCACAGGAAATGACAAGTTATTTCAAGTATTTGCTAAAAATGTTCCTTATGTGAAAAATTAAGCTAATGCAGCCACCACATCTAAGGACTGGTAAGCTGCAATAACGTACATTTTTGTTCATGTTTAGACATCCTTAAAATGGCCCGTCACTCTCTGTAGACAAATCCACCCTTTTCTAGTCAAAAAGGACATGTTCCTGCTCCCACAGCCTCCTGGGATATCTACATCACATATCCTAGAAGGCTGCAGGAGCAGGAAACAGAATGGTCGGAGGGTGGACCGAGATGTGGGTCATTGGAGGCTGTGTGTCTGAACCCAGAAGAGACGGATGGGTCCGAATCACTGAATGTTGGGATATGCCAGCGCAGGAGGGGTGAGGAAGTGAAGTTTCACTTTAATAACTTTATATGTAAACTGTCCCTTCTCCTTGGGGGGTGGCTACTTTTGTTGGCCATAGTCCCTGTGTGTGTTGTAAAGTAGACAATGCTAGTTTACAAGGTACTGAATCTTCCAGGTTCCTGTGGCTTAAATGACAGTAATTGATTTACCACCAGTAAATGTTTGGTGAGAGTTCCATTTACCACTTTTATAAATATGCCCTGAGTTCCACCAGACTATATTCAGTCTTGAATTGTGTTAGCACTCTAGGTTTAGAAATTCGATCATGAGTGGAACAAAATGCCCAACCCACAAGTTTATCCACAGTAGGGGTTGGAAGCCATGGGGGCTTGTGTTCCATTGAGTTTTCATGTTAAAGTATTAAAATGTGGATCTTTAATAGAAATATTGTAATTTTTGATTTTGTAGAGAATTGTGGGTATATTAGCTAGTTATATATTTTATAGCATTGCTCTCTTTTTTTTCAGAATTGCAGCCTGCAATAGGTGTTCAAACATGGATCAAAGGGACCTCAGAAGCACAGCCAATCCAAGTCAAATTCCTGAAGAAAGCTGAGTCTCCCTCAAGTAGCATACAATACTCTGAACACATACACTCACTGGCCACTTTATTAGGTATACAATACTTCAACTGCTCGTTAACACAAATATCTAATCAGCCAATCACATGGCAGTTACATCAATACATTTAGACATGTAGACATGGTCAAAATGGTCTGCTGAAGTTCAAACCGAGCATCAGAATGGGGAAGAAAGGTGATTTAAGTGACTTTGAATATGGCATAGTTCTTAGTGCCAGACGGGCTGGTTTGAGTATCTCAGCAACTGCTGATCTACTGGGATTTTCATACACAACCATCTCCAGGGTTTACAGAGAATGGTCTGAAAGAGAGAAAATATCCAGTGAGCGATAGCTCTCTGGGCAAGCATACCTTGTTGATGCCAGAGGTCAGAGGAGAATGGCCAGACTGGTTCAAGCTGACAGAAAGGCAACAGTAACTCAAATAACCACTCGTTATAACCAAAGTAAGCAGAAGAGCATCTCCGAACACACAACACATTAACCCTTGAAGCAGATGGGCTACAGCCACAGAAGACCACACCGAGTGCCACTTCTGTCAACTAAGAACAGGAAACTGAGGCTACAGTTTGCAAGGGCTCACCAAAATCGGACAATAGAAGATTGCAAAAACGTTGCCTGGTCTGATGAGTCTCGATTTCTGTTGCAGCATTCGGATGGTCAGGTCAGAATTTGATGTAAACAACATAAAAGCATGGATCCATCCGGCCTTGTATCAACAGTTAAGGTTGGTGGAGCTTCGCATCATGGATGTGCAGCCGACATATCTGCAGCAACTGTGTGCTGCTATCATGTCAGTATGGACCAAACACCCTAAAGCAGGGGTAGCAAACCTCCGGCCTTCCAGCTGTGGGGAACTGCAAATCCCATGAGGCATTGCAAGATTCTCACAGCCACAGACATGGCTCCCGAAGAGAGATGCATCATGGGATTTGTAGTTTTGCCACAGCTGGAGTGCCGGAGGTTTGCTAACCCTGCCCTAGGAATGTTTCCATCACCTTGTTGAATCAATGCCACGAAGAATTAAGGCAGTTCTAAAGAGAAAAGGGGTCCAACCCAGTACTAGCAAGGTGTACCTAATAAAGTGGCCAATGAGTGTATATTAGTGTTGGCAATACTACTACATAATAAGGGAACCCTGTATACCCAGATATGGTTAAAATTCCATTAGGTCTTAGACACTTTATTTAAATCTATAATTTCTTAAGTCTAATAATGTAAAATTCAAAATAAAGGATTATTTCTCAGAAGCATGGATTTATGAGCTTCAGTGATATGGGGGTTACTAGGTAATTTTTAAAGCTATACTTCTCATAAGACATAAGAAATCGGATTTTAATAGTATCTCTTACTGTTACTAGGCAACATGACAGAAAGCATTCATTGTAATACATGATAATGACACTGAACTTCCTGTTTCACATTGTGAATATAAAACCACAGCATATAACGTTACATAATGTGTTATAATGTTCCCTTAAAACAGTTATAGTAACCCCAGGTGTATGTAAACCCTATCCCATCTTAGAGTATTTGCTCTCTTTTATACCAATAGGATTTATTTTTAAATACAGTATGTTTGATAACTGAAACC